TCTCTGTCCTTGAAGCTCCACAGCTGACTCTTGCTCACCAGTCAAGGCCATGTGTGGATGTCGCCTCCTCCAGGAAGCCCTCTCTGACCACTCAGGCTGTACCTCAGTTTCCCTGGGCACTTCCAGCCACAGCCCTCCCTCAGCCCCACCCGACCTCACCCACGTGGAAGCAACCGGGTCCCGCCCTGGCCTCTGGTACCCCACCTTGGAAGCTATCCACTCGCTCACTTGCTTAGCACTGATTGAGCACCTGCTGTGTGCCAGACACCATTCTAGGCACAGCGAACACAGCAGAGACAAGAAAGCCACAAAGCTCCGCCCTCGTGGGGTACACGTATTGCCCAAGAAGGGAACTTGGTAACTTCTGCCAAGGATAAACGTCACGGTGCAAATGCAGAGAATGATGGGAGAGTACTGCCAAGGGGCTGCTTTAGCCAGTGGCCGGGGGGGCCTCCTGCAGGAGAGGACGTCTGTGCTGAGGCCAGAGGCTGGCAGGGAGCAGCCGTGCCCAGGTGAGGAAGGCGCTCTGCAAAGGCAGAAGCTTGGAGGCTGGAACCGCTCAAGGAACAGCAAGAAGGTCTAGGCGGGGCGGGGAGGCAGGCACGTCGCAGAAAGGACCCGGGAGGGGGGGTCTCTGCCTTTTCCAGAGGAGACACGGACCCTCATTCTTTTTTTGAGACAGGGTCTCACTCTGTCGCCCAGGCTGGAGTGCAGTGGCATCATCACAGCTCACTGCAGCCTCCAACTCCTGGGCTCAAGCGATCCTCCTGCCTCGGCCTCCCGAGTAGCTGGGACTACAGGCGCCACCACACCACGCCTGGCTAATTTTTCTATTTTTTTTTTAGTAGAGACGGGGTCTGGCTATGTTTCCCAGGCTGGTCTCGAACTCCTGACTTCTAGAGATCCTCCTGCCTTGGCCTCCCAGAGTGCTGGGATTACAGGCAAGAGCCACCAACACCAGTCTGAGCCTCGATTTTCTTGCCCATAAAATAAGGCACCAGAAGGGGGTCTGGCGCACACGCATCTGCTTTATGTTAAACAGCCTTGCTGTGTGGCCTTAGGCCAGCAGCTCAGCCTCTCTGGGCCTCTCCGTACTGTGATTAGGGACTCAGGGATCCGAGCCAGGCTTGGAGCCGCCATTTCTCCATCTGCCACAGACAGCGAGGCTGGGGGCGGGATGTCTGTCTCCTGTTCCGCAGAAGGAGCTCCCTCTCGGCCCTGGCCGCCCCGGGGTTTCCAGCTCTGGGGCCAGCGTCCCCGGGGGGATCGAGTAACCCGGCGGGGTGGCCCGGCCCCCTGGCCACCCAGGTCTGGTTACGGGCTCTGCTTTCAGCTGCCTCCTCCAGCTGCCTCGCTCACCCCCCTGTCGAAGCCCGGCCGGGCTCGGGGCTGTCTAGGAACTTGTCGGAAAGGCCTGAGGGAGACCCTGGGGTCCCCCGGGCATTCGGGGGGCAGAGGGGAGAGGCCCCGTGTCCCTCAACGCCCGCCAGATGCCGGTTAACTCATCCCTGCCCAGCCTGGGAGGTGGCTAGCGAGTCCCTATCCGTTCCTGACACTCCTTCCTGAGTCCGCAGCTCCCGCAGCCTCAGTTTCCCCATCAGGGAACCGAGCAAGATGGCCCCCCTCCTCGGGTTCTCATGAGGGGTAAACGAGCACCGCGTCACAGAATGTTAATTAACTGTCTCCACTGCTGTGCAGCCTTGGGTTAGACTCTTCCCCTCTCTGGGCTTGTTTCTGCCTCTGGATAACAGGGATGAGAGTATTGGCTCCATGGGGGCAGGGGGGTCACTGCCGTGTCCCCAGCACACATGAGGCCTGGCACACAGTAGGTGCTCAACAAATCCCGGGTGAATGAATGTCCCAGGAAGAGCCCCCGTTTATAAAATAGTCACAAGGACACGTTTGTTCCAGAGTTCTTGCATACCTACTGCGTGCCAGTGGGGCTGGGAAGCCCGTGTGTCCAGGGCTTGACACGGAGCGCGGCATGCAGTAAGCACTCGATTAATGCTGATCATCTATTTTGAAGAGGATGGTGCTCAGAGCTGCCTTCCACACCCAACTCACAGCCGCCCAGGACAGCAGGGATCTAAGAGGAGATTTAGGAAGGCCCTACCTACTGCACGCCCTCGTCCCCATCCTTAGATGGAAAAGTGGAAGCTCAGAGAGGTTAAGCCACTTGGCTGAGGTCACACAGCACGTGCGGGAGAAGCTGGGATTCACAGACTGCACTGCCTGTGCCCGCCCTTTCCCGGGCGTTGGCAATGTGTCATCTGCCCATGAGTGTGGCACAGACCAAATATTTTACGGAAAACCAACAGAGGCTGTCCCTGTCCCCAGGCCACTCAGGAAACCAGAGGGGTGAGACCAGGTGGCAGAGGCAGGACCTCAAGTGGGGACGTGGATGGGTCCCCAGGGCTCCTGGCCCAGGCAGGGGGTGGAGGGGCTCCCGGGTAATGAATGTTAATCACTGTTTGGAAACTGGGCCGCCAGGAGCCCATGCGGAAGCAGTGACTTGTAATTAGGAATTGCGGGGGGTTGCAAGGACCACTCAGACGAAATTAAAGTGTCATTTATGCCCAGGGGGTAATTAGAGGGCCCAGGAGGGGGTAGCTCCGGGGGGGGCTGGGGGATCCGAGGGAATCTGGGACGGGATGGTTGTCAGGCACCCGCAGATTCCCTGGGGACACAGGTCCTGCCCTGGAACTCCATTTGCAGCAAATACAGAGGAGCCGGGCCTGCGCTTGGGGCCCGGTTTTGTGGGGACAGAGAGGGGTCGGGCTCTATTATAGGGAGGACAGAAAGAGAGACAGTCCCCAGCTTCGATCTAGGGGCGGAAGACGGGAAGCCCTGCCCCTGCCAACTTGGGGTTCTGGTAGCCCCTCTCCCAGAACTTCCCCAGCCACTGCCCCACCCCAGAAGCCACGTCCAGGAGGACACGGGGGTCGCCCACTGGGACAGGAGCAGAATGAGAGGCCAGGAGGGGGAGGCAGACGGGGTTGCCAAGTGCTGCTGGGAAAGGGAAGACCTGGCGAATGAACTTGAAGAAGACAAAGGCGGGAAATAGGTCCCAAGGGAAAGGCCCTGGGGTCAGAGGGGACCACAAGCCCTGGTGAGTCAGGGCTCAGGAATGGCCGGAGGGGCTGGCAGAGTGACGTCAGCACCAGGGGATGGGGGCGTGAGAACTGTCCAACAGTGGAGAAGAACGTCGAGGGGCAGGGCCCCCTGGTTTATGGGGTGCCTGGGGGAATTTGGGGCTCAGACCTTCAAAGGGGGAATAACATCAAATATTTATGGAGCACTTACTGTGTACCAAGCCCTGATAAGAAGTACATGATTTAGCCCAGATGGGCAGGTGGGAGAGGCTCTTCTGACCATTTTATAGGAGGGGAAACCGAGGCCGAGAGTGGGCAAGTGATGTGCCCAAGGCTGCACAGCTGGAAAACAGTCCACCACCCCTGGGGTCAAAGCCCCAGTTCTCCCCATGGCCCACCAGGCCCCGCATGACTTGCCCTGTCCCCTTCCCCTCCTCACTCTGCTCCAGCCACACGGGCCTCCTCGCTGTGCCTCCCACACACCAGGCGCTGTCCTGCCCCAGGGCCTTTGCACGGGCTGTGCCTCTGTCAAGATTGCTGCTCCTCCAGATCTTTGCATGACAGCCTGCTTCTCATCTTCCAGGTCTCAGCTCAAATGTCATCTCCTCAGTGACACCCTCAGCTAAAACAGCCCCGCCCTTCCCAGCCTCTTCACCCCATATTGCTGTCTCAGGGAGCTCATTGTAATTGATTTGCCTGGTGTATTTCTCTAGTTAGTGTCCTGTCCCCACTTGGCTGTGAATTCGACAAGGGCAGGACACGCAGTCAGCCTTGGCCATTGCTAGGTCCCCAAGCACCTGGCACATAGTAGGTGTTCATTAAACATTGGTCAACGCATGGAGTCACCTTAAAACATTGGAGCCACCCCTGCCAGCTCCGAATGAGATCAGGGCCTGTATCCTCTTGTTTAAATGATCAACCCTATGGGAGACAGAATAGCACCCCTGTTTTACAGATGGGGAAATTGAGGCTCAGAGAGGGTGTATGAGTGAGTAAATGAAGAGATGGATTCGAGCTCAAGGGAGTCTGATCTGCCATGGCACCTGCTAAGGGCAAGAGTGCAGAGTGGTTATCTTAACTGCCCCAGGGGCTCGGACTCCTTGGCCTCCATGAAAGGGAGGCGCCAGGACCCACAGAAGGGAGGAGGTTCTTATGCAACCATCAGAAAACATGTGTCCTCCCCTAGTGAACTCCTACACATCCGTCATGGCCCTAGTTGCAATGCCCTTTCTCAGTGCATCTCTCCTGATCCATGTGGCACAGACCAGCTTTCCCAGCCGCAGTTGCTCCCTCTGCCTCTGCCCTGACCCCATGTAGCATAGAGGGCCAGTGTCTGCCTCTATTTCCCCTCCCCTGGCCTAGAAGCCCCTGGAGGGCCAATTAGACACTGGAGTTGAGGTTCCTTCTCTGGGATCCCAGCATCACCCAGCACGGGGCACAGCACACAGCGGGTACTGGCAGCATTTGTTGAATGACTGACTGACTGATCACCCTGTCTGCCCTGAACCAGGGCCCACCAGAGAACCCACAATCCTCGGGGCTCCTGTACTCGGGAAGTTCCTTCCTAGGTCGGCCTTTGGAAGGAGGGCTTAGTCAGGCCACGGTGCATCCTGGGAAATGTAGTCCTCATTAGACCAGGCCGACCTCCCAGCAGGCCCTGGGCGGCCCCCTTTGGACCCTGGGGCCAGATGGGGAGGGGGCATCTAGTGGGGGGCCCGTGTCTCTGCCCAAAGGGCCATAAGAGAGGGCCCCAGCCTCCCAAGCCACTTCCTTGGGTCGTTCTAATGTCTGCCACTGTATGTGACATCCCGGGAGGACAGGTGAAGAGGGACTGTGATGACAGAAGAGACCGATGTGGTTCAGGCCCCGCCGCACACCGGACCCCAGCTCTGGCGGCCAAGCCCGCACCGTTCGCCATGGTGGAGGCGTCTAGGATGCGGGTCTGTTCCCGGATCATGCAGCCACAGGACGTGGGGCAGGCGGCAGGGCCTGTGTCCCGGGCTGCGTCGAGCCTCGATTGTCCCACTGCTGCTACACGAAGACAGCGGGGTGGGGAAACACACCCACAGTGGCCAAGAGAAAGCCGCAGCCGAACGAAATCCCACCTGGGTCTTGGAGGAACCCAAGCCCGAGAATCCACGGCCCCTTAAAAACAGCTCAGAGTCTCAGACTCGCGGTCTCTTAAATGTTACAGACGTTCAGAAAACCTACCATACCTGGAAATCGAAAACAAATCCAGAAGGTCACCTGGGTCTGACCCATATCCCAATTATTTCCCCAGCATTCCGGAAAGATGGCTGTCCAACTCCCCTTGCCTGCCCCCCGGGATGGGCAGCTCATCACCCCTTTGACCAGCGTGCTTGGTTTCCAGGAGTCTGTCTGCTGGTAGTGACCCTTCCTCGCAGCTGCTCCGGTCTGATATGTTACTCATATCCCTCCCATGCTCTAAAACCTTCCATGGCTCCCTACTGCCCTTGGAATAAAGTTCACTCCTCAGCTTGGCATTCTAGGCCACTTTCCCCTCCTCTCAGGTCTCGGTGTCATTGCCTCCCATGCTTAAAATAGTGCAGCCACTCAGGGCTTCCCCAACATACCCAGCCATGGCCATCCTTGCCGTCTCCTCCAGCAGGAATGCCTGTCCCCCTCGCCTCCTGGCCAAATCCTTCTCACCCTTCAAGCCCGGTGGCAGCACCCCCTCCTCCAGGCAGCCTTCCCTGCTCCCAGCTGTCCCGACCGACTGGCCTGGGATTTTCTCCCTCCAGAATCGCCCCCACTGGGCCCACAGGACAGGGCCACACCCAGGGTCAGCTGGGGACACCTTCCTTCCTGGGAGACGGGCAGTGATCGGCATACCCTTCAGTCCCCGGGGACCCAGCTCACCTGTCCTGCAGGCTGATGTCATGGTCACCTTTCCAAGGGCAGTTTGAGTTCTATCTTCCAGGCCCCGCCCCAGGTAACCCCAGCGACTCCTGCCTCAGCCCCGGGCGGCCACTGCAGACACCGAACCAAATCTCTAGCACCTTCTTTGCCCATCGGACAGAGGCAAGGACTAAGCTCCAAGGGGAAAGTCACCCCTCCCGGGTGACTCAATATCTCCACTCGGAGATACCGTCTCACCTCAAAGCGGAGTGGTGACAAGGACCCGTGGGTGCTCAGCCCCTGCAGAGGTAGGTGACAACCGTCGGAGGCAGAGTGGGGCAGTTACCGATCTGAGACAGTCTGTGTGACCTCTCTCTGCCTCACCTCAAGTCCTAAAACCAGAAAGCATCTCCTGGAGACACTGCAGCCCAGAGGGGGACAGGGACCTGTCTGAGGCCACACAGCTAAGCCTCCCCTCAAAGCTTGGGGTCTAATTCCTGCACATCCCAGAGCTGAGGGGGAGGGGAGACGCGGCAACTCCAGGGCGGCCATCATCGGCTAGGGGCATCCTGGGATGCAAGGGGACGGCAGGGGGCCTAGGGTCTCAGCTGCCTCCCTGGGCCTCAGTTTCCCCATTTGCTTTTAAGAATGGGCCGGTTCAGAGTGGACATGCTACAGTTTAAAGAGGCTTATGTCAGGCTGCCACCCGACTCACAGCCAACTTCCTAGAGAGCTTGGGACCCCTCCCGGTGGGTCCTGATCCCAGCCTTGAACCCGCAGCCATCGTGCCGCACCCCGTCCATACCCTCCCTGGACAGAGTTTAAAGCAATTGTACCCATACACCCAGAAATCCCGCCCCTGGAAGAAACAGGGTTCCTAGCATGTGAGGAAAGCAGCTGGGGGGGTCTGTGGGTGGGGGGGAGTCCCCCAGGGGTCCCGAATTTTTATTTTGGAGAGGGAATTTGGACCTTTTGACAAGGTGAGTGGACCCAGAAAAATATGAAGAAATGCACTTTCGCATATGGGGTGGGCGTCTCTCCCTTCTTCCCACTTAACCCCCAACCCAGACCCCCCAAAGCTTGGGAGCGCCCCCCTAACTCCAAGCCCCAGTTCCGCCTTAGTCTGGGGGTCAAAATGACAACCTCAGGTGGACAATGTCAAAAAGACAGCCAGAGGGCCACGTGGGGGCGAGGGTCTGGGAATGCCTCCCCCAACCCCAGGACTCTTGCAAACGCTCCTGGCTCCAGCATTTACGGGTCCCGGGCAGAGGTGGGGTTCGCTGCACTAGCGCCCCCTCTGGGAGGCGCCCCAACTAGGAGGGCGCCCGGAGGCGGAGAGCAGGACAGGGGGGGCACGTGACCCCCCGCCCTGGGGACCAATCAGCGCCCGCAGGAGGGGGGCCACACTCGGCGCCCCCCACCCAGCCCAGCGCGCTTGGAGAGAGACGTTTTCTTTGTCCCTTTGTCAGCTCTTGGGGGGCTCCGAACCCTCAGGCCCCCACCGCAGCGGGGGGATCCGGACTGGCTGGCCTTCTCTCCCCTCCCCACTGCGGCCCCTCCCCCGCCGCCAGGGCCGGGACTCGTTCCGTTCTGGGCCGGGCAGGAGGCCGGAGGGGACTCGGGCGCCCAAGGTGCGGCGTCTGGACCGCGGAGAGGGGCGGAGGGGCCCCACAGTGCCGGGACCACCACACCAGCCCCCGGTCGCCCTCGACTCAGCTCTTAGGGCCCCGCCCCCCAACACCGGCCCCCAGCCCCGGCCCGCAGGCCCCCAGCCTGCCCCGAACCCCCCACCTGGGCCCAAATCCAGCGCCCCAGCGGCGCAGCCGCGAGCCCCATCCTTGTGCCTCCTGCGGCCCCCCCCCGGACAAAATCTCCACCCGCTGCGGTGCCGACAGAACCCCCATTATAGCCTCACATGCAGCCCCCCGTCAACAAGCCGAGCCCCCCCGCCCGGCTGCGGTGCCATTGGACACCCCCATGATGGAGCCTCGTCCGGCGCCCCAGGCCCAAATCCAGCCCCCGACAAGCGATGCTGCCGGACCCCCAGCTGCCACTCCGTGCAGCGCCCCCCTCTCGAAGCCAGCCCCCTCCCCAGCTGCGCGGCCACAGACAGCGCCCCCAAGCCCCCTCCCCGGCCCGATCCACCCGCTGCCGGTGGCAGGGCCCTCGGCCCCCGCCCCGCGACAGCGCCCGAGCCGGCCACCCCAGCCCACGGCCCGGCCCCCCGGCTGCGCACCGCCAGACACCCCCGTGGCAGCGCCTCCCCGGCCCCCCGCGCAGACGCCCCGGGGCGCTTACCTCGGAGCCGCGGCGGCCGCGAGTGCGCGGGAGGGAGCGAGGGCGGCGGGCGGGGGGGCCGTGCGCGCACCTGTCCCGGCCGGGCCGGCTCAGCCGGGCATCCCGGGTGGGGCGGGGGGCTGGGGGCGCGCGCTCTCCCCGCCCCCGGGCCCGCGGCGCTGCGCTGGGGGAGGGGGCTCAGCCCCGGTCCCCCGCGCGCTGGCGTCGGCTCCGGGGGGGGTGCTGTGCGGCGGCCGGACCGGGGGCGCGCCGCGGCCGCATCTCCTCCGCCCGCCGCGGCGGCCGCTGCGACTCGCGGCTCCGCCACCTCCGCCCCCCCCTTGCCAGCAACCCCCCCACCGAAGCCGGGCTGGAGCCGCACAAAACCCGGCCCAGAGCGGCGGCGGCGCGGAGCGGAGCGCGGAGCCCGGCGGGCGGCTGTCGGCGAGGGGGCCTGAGGGGCCAGGGGCGACCCAGGCTGGGTGTCCCTGCTTTCTTCGCCCAGGTGGTGAGCTTAACTGGGCCGCCCCAACTCCCGCTCCCGTCTCCTCTGTCCCAACTCGCGTCCCGGTACCGTCCCTAATCAGACTCACAGGGACCACGGGCGGGTACAGCGCCAGGACCCCCGGGGTCCGGTGCCCCCTTCACATATGGGGTCAATGACTCAGCACAAAGGCATTGCATCCGACAACACCCACTGGACGTGTGAGGAAACTGAGGCACGGGGAGGCGTCTTGTCCGAGGTCTTGCAGTTGGACAGTGGTGAGACAGGGGTTCGGACCCGAGCGGAACAGCTGCAGAGGTCCCCGTGGTACCCCGTGCCCAGTGGGGCCCGGCCCGGAAAGGGGTTTCTTAGGGGCTGCACGTCCCCCCTACCCATGGGGAACACTCTTGCCCCTGCCTTTGAGACCCCAAGACAGAGCCCTGAGGTTTCAGAGACCTTCGCCTAACCTCCCTGACCCTCCGTGTGAATTCAGGACAGCAGGGGCCCTCTCCGCGCCTCAATGTCCCTCTCTGTCCCAAGCGTCTCCCCTTATGTGCATGTGACCCTGTATGTCTCCAACCCTGGGCTGGGTGCTGTCCTGGTCCCCCTGGCACCTCTGGTATACATACAGTAGGTGCTCCATAAACACTTTATTATTATGTATTTAGTGACTTTTCTTACGCGCCTACTGTGTGCTGGGGCCACTAGGTCCCGTCCCTGGCACTCAGACTGGCTTTCTGCCAGCCACACACAGGGACGAGGGGTCAGGACTCGGAACCCTGCTTCCCAGGCCACGGGCAGCCCTGGGCAACCTGCAGGCTCCCTGGCACCCGTGGAGACAGCCCGGAGCCTCCTGGCCCAGCATGTGCCGCGGCCACGCTGGTGACCACAAACCTCCCAGAGCAGCCAGGCCTTCCTGCCCGTGGTTTTGGCCCTTTTTCCGCTTTCCGGCCGCCCCTGCATCCCAGGCAAATCAGCCGCGGCACCTGCCAGCCTCCAGCCCCCACCTTCTGTGCCCTGCCCACTTGGGGACACTGAGGCCTGCTCCAAAAGGGAGGGGGCCGAGTCCCAGCAGCTCAGCTTGGCAGCCTGGGTCTGCAGCCTCCCACCTCCACCCCTCCCACTGCCTGTGCTGTGCCCACCCCCTGACGTGCCCTCCCTGGCCTGTGGCCTTGGCTGTGCCCAACTGGGCAGTTCTGCAACCCATTCATTCAACAAACATTTATTGAGCGCCTGTTGTGTGTCAGATCCCGGGCACAGTCGACAAATGTGGCGCCTGCCTGCAGTCTAGCCTGGGAGGTACAAAAGCCAGTGGCCACAGAACTCCGTAGACAAAGGCGCCAGGACTGGTGTTGAGGGTCCAGGAGGACCACAAGGAGGTGATATGGGGGCCGTAGAAGAACCATAGACAGGTTTGGCCGAGCACAGCAGCGCGGACAGGGGTGTGTGGGGAGGGCATGTGAGGCTTGGACAAAGGCCCTGTGGGAGGCCCCACCCCTGCCGCCCGGCTCAGCTGCCACCCAGGCTTCTGTGGCCATGAATGGGTCTTTCATGCCCTGGACCGGGACAAGGTCAGGCCGGGCTGCTCCCTCTCCCCGCCCGGGGCTCCGGTCTGTCTGAGCCCTGACCTGGAGTTGGGTGGCAGAAGTTCACGGCTCGCCCTCCGGATGCGCCGGGGAGGCCCAGGGAGGGGCAGGGCCTCGCCCGAGGTCACGGGAGCCAGCAGCGCCCTCCTAACTGCGGGACTCTGGGAAAAGCCCCGCCCCGCTGGGCCTCAGTTTCCCCGTCCGGGCGGGCGCGTGGGCAACGCTGCGCTCCAGTCCGGCTCCGGCCCGGCATGTTCCAGGGCGGGTTTTGCGGGCGCCCGAGGCCACCGACACCTTCCCGGCGCTGCCCGGGCTGCGGTCCCGGGTCCGAGGGGGCCCGGGGAGACCCGGACGGGGTCAGGCGGCCTTCTGGGGGCCCCGGGATGGAGTGAGGCTGGGCTCGGCGCCTGCGGGGAAAGGAGGCCCCCGCCCCGCTGCCTGCACGTCCCCCAGCAGAGCTCCCCGCCCGGCCACCCCGCTGTGTGACACCCGCGGGTCCCTGCCCCTCTCTGGGCCGGGCTGGAGCCAGGCCAGTGGGCAGCAGCTCCGAGAGGTCGCCTGGGTCCCACCCCGTCGCCCATATGCCCCAGCCTCAGTTTCCCGGGCTAGGTGCCGGCCACCTTTAAGCCCAGGTTGGGGGTGGTCGCTCCTCGGTGGCGCCCCTGGTCCTGGTTGGGGCCAGGGAATCCCCCGGGG